TTTTAAAACCTTTATATTAGAACAAGATAAGAAAAAACAATAATATTAGAGATAAATGAAAAAATATGTGCCTACACACATGACCTTGTAAATAAATACTTTCCCAGCTCTTTCACTCAAATGGTGAGCAGCCTTCATGGCACTTCAACTACACTGAACCTCAAGCACACAGATTCTTGACTTCAATGCAGTCAATGAGCCAGGGCTTCATATAGAATAGCTGAGCCCTTCTTGGAGCCAAGAAAACTCAAGACAAGTCCAGAATATCTCATCAAAAAGCAAAAATATTTTAGAGTTATTGGGAAGGATGGTTTAAAAAGGACGGGTTAAAGGGATTTCTACTGGCCAAGCTGTGACAATTTGAGCATCAGAAAGAAAAAAGACCACAGGTGCATGGTAATGCTTAAAAGAGATATGCAGATGGAGGCCATAAATTGTGGTGGCTCCAGGCAAGTTCTCAGCTGGAGATTGATTTTGCCTCCCTGGGGGTTTCTTTGGAAATATCTGGAGACGTTTTTGTTGTCATGACTAAGGAGGGGTGCACAGCTGGTATCTAGTGGGGAGAGGCCAGGGGTGCTGCCAAACTTCTGAGGATGCACAACACAGCCCATCACAACAAAGAATCATCCAGCCCAAAATGGCAGTAGAGCCAAGGTTGAGAAATCCTCTTTCAAAGAAGATCACCCCGAGTTTGAATAACAGGTCTGCCATCTACCAACCCCTCCATAACATCGGGATAGTGATGCCACTTCAGTGTGTTATTGTGAGTGTTAAATAAGATCATATTTTTAGGGCTTATCCCAGAGCCTGACGTTGACAAAGTTCTCAGGAGTTGGTTGTTACTATCATCTCATTAGAGTGAGATATTCTGCATAATGGGTTGTGAACCTCTCTAGCTCTTGAGAAAATACCAGTCTTAGAGTTTGTATTGTTCCCTAGCAGCAAACATCCACTGAGCTAGCCAGAGAAAGAAAAGAATTATTCTTGTTTAAATTATCTATACTAATAATCTTTAATAAGTATTGAGGTGTGACAGGTTACAACGGGGACAAGCTTTCTCTAGTGCATACTTCTGAACTAAAATAATCAGAGGAAAGGGGGTTGGGTGGCACAGAAAGTGATGACATCAAGGCCTCTGAGTGCAGCCTGGACCTGGTATCTCACCTGCTATTGAGCTACTGAATTTCAATAGTAATTTTCTGAGAGAAGGGAGGGAACCTTTGAGCATTTCACTTCCCACTGCAGCCTGGCTCAGAGCTGTGTGCAAGCGCACATTAATATGCACTTTCTGAAGGTGGTGGTAAAGGTGGTGGTAGTGACAAAGTGACGGCCATTCAGGTAGGCTGCTATTATCTGGAATGTACGATTAAGTCATCTGAGCCCAGGTAACCAGTGTTTAAACCAGGACGTCATTGGAATCTCCTTCTACCTCTCCTGTCTCACCCGTATTTACTCAGGCAGTGGTTCTCAAACTTCAGCGTGCACTTGCAGAGCTTGTGAAAACCCAGATTGCTGGGCCCCACACCCAATAGTTTCTGATTCAGTAGGTCTGGGGTGGGGCCCAAGCATTTGCATTTCTAACAAGTTTTCTAGGTGATGGTGATGTTCCTGGTCTGGGAAACACACCTTGAGAACCTCTGTACTAAAGAAAAGAATCAAAGCTGTGGTTCTTGGAATATTTCTGCTGCCTCCCAGCTCAAAAACAAGTGCTTCAAGCTGTGTGCTCTCTCCACACCTGAAGAGGGGCTGGTGGAAGTGTGTGAAGATGTGACACCTTGTGCCCTCGTGATGCCTCCATTGACATGGGGACCATCGCCGTGAAATACTGTCTTGGGCAAAACAATTTGCCCTGATGGTTATTTGCAAACGCCAGGACTGACCTTATCAATCTGAGCAGCGCAGTCACCTCGAGCGCCCAAACGGACCATTGCCAGGGCAGTGAAGATGCTCAGAGAGGAAAAGAACATATTTCCATTGCCTTGATTGTTATCCATCTCTCTGAACAGGCTGAAGCAAAATTCTGCATTTGCTGCAGCAAGAGAGGCCATTGTGAAATGGGATGCAACCTAGAGAACAATGGGGAAATGAGGTCAATTCACAGAACATTTTCTATAAAAATTTTGGTTTTATATTCATTATTTTTAATTTAAAGCTTCATTTCTTTAGCCTTGGATGTAATCACCAAATAACTTAGAACAAAAAGGACAAAGGTCTTTTGGCTCAATATCCTTGTTACTAACACTCTAAAACTGTCTCTTCTGGAAAAAAATACGATATATTCATTTTTCTCACATCGATATTCTTTAGTGCAACATTTCCACCTATGTTCTCAAATTCACATCTGAGTCATATTCCTGCTTCTCCTTGATGTGGCATTTCTAACCTCAGTGGCCTTTGCATGGCCTTTGTGTGGCCTTTGTTTCCAATGCCCAAGCAGAAACATTCATGGGGCTTATTATTTCTCAAATCACCCCAGATTTTTTAACTGAAATAGAGCAAAAGTGCTATTTAAAGTAAATTTTACAACATTAGACAGTCTATTCAAGACATGATAGCCTTTATTTTCTAAACCATCTGTAATTCAATGAAATGTTAAAATTTGGAAGCTTAACATACCATTTCTTTACCTTTCTTTCTTTTATGGCTTCTGTATACGTTCTTAGAGCAATCATATATCCTAATTTTTTTCAGGATCATCCTAATTTCAAATATTATGCATCTTTGCTCCTCATAAGTGTATTTATTCTTTTAAGACCATTTTTTTAATCCAGGCACAATGTCTCATGCCCATAATCCTAGCATTTTGGGAGGCTGAGGTGGGAAGATCACTTGAGGTCAGGAGTCCAAGATCAGCCTGAGCAACATAGTAAGACCCTGTCTCTACAAAAAATAGAAAAAAATTAGCTGGGTGTGGTGGTACACACCTGCAGTCCCAGCTACTTGGGAGGCTGAGGCAGGAGGATCAGCTGAACGCAGGAGTTCGAGGTTGCAGTGAGCTATAATGACACCACTATACTCTAGCCCAGGTAACAAAGAGAGACCTTGTCTCTCAAAAAAAAAAAAAAAAAAAAAGAAAGAAAAGAAAAAGAAAATAAAAAAAGAAAAGAAACAAAAAAAAAGACCTTTGTCTGATTTTTTTAGATTGCAAAATGAGATTATTATAATATGTATCATGAACTTTCACAAGACTTTCCACCACATAGGTCTACTGCTTGCTAGAGAATCTAGGGTGCAGTAGCAAATTGAAAATCAAGGATGAAAATTAGATTATCTACAAATTCTTTTGTTTCTGAAATACAGAGGGCTGCCGCCACCATGGAGTTCTTCAAGGATCGGCTTTGGCATTTCTTTGCAGATTTTCTCCACAACTCAAACTGATCTCAGCACCACATTTGGGGTTGGCTCAGATTAAATGAATTTACTTGGATTCTCCAAATTATTCCCCTTGAATATTCCAAGATATTAAATCTGATGGTGTAGCGGGTACCAAGAGTCATGAAGCTTTAGGAGACCCAGTCCTAGTCCAAACCCTCTAACAGTTGTGTGACCTAGGTAGAATCTTTAATTTCTCTGAGCTTCTAAGTTTCATCTTATTCAGGGAGGCGATCTATTTACAGGATCTAGCATAGTGATTCTCAACAGAAAATCATGCAACCTTCTACCTTTCACTCCATAAAAGGAGCACATCATCGTATCAGGGCATGGGGGAGGGCATGGTGTGGGTAAGGAAGAGAGTCACAAGGAGGGAGATACACATAACCTGAAAAAATAATGTTCTAAAATTACCACTGCATTGACTTTGCTGCAGTCACAAATACTTAATGCCTTTTAAAACTACAAATGAGATTAAAGTAAGTTTTTCCATTTGTATTTTGCCAAATAGGAGCTTGAGTTTAAAAAAGTTAAGGAACCACAATTGTAGTAAAATGCCTGACTCGTAGCAGATGTTCAATGGACTGAAGCTGCTATGTTTACTATCCTCTGTAAAATGGTAATAACCGGGTCTGTCCTAAAAGACAACAAGTTCAGCATTTCCAGAAAGAGTGTTCCTGAGGAATTCATACTCTGCACTTTGGAATTCTCAGCCCAGAGAACATGACTGAGCCATGAGGCCACGAACGACGTTGGTTTTAGTGTCAAATTCAGCTATTTGTAATTCATAGTTAGTCTGAGTGCTCAGTTACACCCCAGGAACATAGAGAGAGGAAATCCTTCACACCCCACACATCCTTCACTGCAAGAAACAAAATCTATGTTCTTTTAAAAGTTATCCAGAGAAAATTTGATTTTATGTCTAATCTAAGGAACCCAGGATGAAGAGCAGCGGCAGTTGTGGTTGGAGCTATAGGAGAAACCTCTCACAGCAAAGGAGAGAAGGAACAACAAAAGTTGGGGCCGGGGCAGAGGATGGGAGTGGCTAGGTACAGGGCAGATTTACACAGTGATATTGGCAGTGATATTGGCAGTGCCGAAGGCTCCCACATTTTCAGGGACTCAAATCATGTTTTAGACCTGAACAATTAGACCAAAATTAACAAGTGTACAATTAAATGTAGGAAAATAAAACACACTTTGATTTTTTTTCCTTTTTTGGAGACAAGGTCTCATCCAGGCTGGAGTATGGTGGCATCATCACAGCTCACAGCAACCTCAAACTCCTGTGGGCTCAAGTGATTCTCCTGCCTCAGCCTCCCGAGTAGCTGGGACGTCAGGCATGAGCCACCATGCCTGGCCTGATTTTTATATTTAATTTAGTAGTCATAAGAATTTCATTAATTTTAGGGGGAAATGTGTGCTAGATTCTCTCCCTTCTAAAGAATTTCCAAGACTTCTTGTTGATGTCTGAAAATCAGACAATAGTAAATAAAATGAATCACTTTTAAGAAAGTAACTTCAAAAGCAAAATCATAATAATTATTTCAAAATATTTATCGTCAAAATTATGTTGAATAGAGAATCGTGGGTATATTTTAATGTATTGATAAAATGTGGGCTAGAGGCTTTAAAAGGAGACCTGAAAGAGTTTTAAATGATCCTGTTTGGGGACCTGCCTGCACCATCTGGTGGGTGTCTGGAAGCTCCCTGGTAATATCATATATATCCCAAAGTGCAAAAACACACTTTACGGTACATTTTTCTTTGATTAAGCCCCAATTATTCTTGTTGTTT